CCCCCCCCCCCCCCCCCCCCCCCCCCCCCCCCCCCAAAAAAAAAACACTGCCTGGCACCAGCATCCAGGAATTGATCACAAAAGAGAGATGTCCAAAGAGCATATATGGAAGGATAAAGGGGAACATCTCTTGTACTGCTACAGATTTATGGTTTATTCGGGTATCATTACCATCAAACAAACAAAAAATGCTGACTCCATCAAAATCTGAAGTTGGGAGAAAAACAGCCGAGAGCACCTCCTACCCACCCAGGAGGGCTGGGACAGCGACAGGCATCGCGATGGTCTGGGGACACCCGCTTACTGCCAGCAGCTGGAGGCACCAATAGAGACAGGAGGGAGATTTTAGGCTCCCACTGTCTTACAAAGACACGGTGTGGCAAAGAAACAGGCACGTGGCAATACTCAGTAAACCCAGGGGTGTGAAAGCAATCTTAGAAAAAAAAAAAAAAACCGCTTAAAATGTAACAGAATAGCGAAAAACAGGCAGGGAGGCATTCACATAAACGCACCTCCAGCTCGCCGCGACTGAAGGAGACTGACGAAAGCGCTCCGAGGGAGTGATGCGACGGCTGCGAGCGGCTTCCGCCTCGTTTTATTGTTTTACCGCACGCTTTTGCCCCGCACACCGCCCCAGCCCTGTCCTGCCAGCTCAGCAGTCCCGCCGAGCCGGGCGGCCGCGGCGAAGCTGTGGTAAACAAGTGCTGAGCTGTCAATCAGCGGCCCGGCTGGAGCAGGAGAGGACCGGCCTAAACCGGCGCGAGCAGATCCCAGCCAGCCGCGCATATACATACAGTATACATTACACTCGCCGCAGTCGCTCGGCAGCTCCGCTCGCCGCCCACGGAGGAGGAGGGGAGGCGGGGGCGAGGAGGGAGGGGTGAAAGGAGCCGCCCGCGTCCTGCTCGCCCCGCCGGCCGCCCCGCTACGTGCCGAGACGCAGCGCTGGACCCTCGGGCGGCGGTCGGGGAAGGGAGGAGCGAAGAGGGGGGCGAAAGCGAAGCCCGAACAGTGGGGAAGGCACCGAACCCCCCCCGCGGCCGCCCTGCCCTATCCCCGGGGCTGCTCGGACCCGCGGCCCCTCGTCCCCCGCCGCAAGCCGGCTGCGGGCGAAGGGACCCGCGCCCTTGTCGTGGCGGCCAATCAGCGGCTGGCATCGCCTTAGCAACAGGCCAACAAACCGCGGCCGGCCAATCGGAGGCGCAAGGGGGCGTGGCTTCGGCCGCCAGCTGCGGGGCGAGGCGTGAGGCAGTCATTGAAACTCGGCCGCGGGGCCGCGCGGCGCCGGGCATCGCCCGAACCTGGGGTGCCCGCTCAGAACTGCCGGGCCACCGCGCCATCGTCCGGGCTTTGCTCTCCGCGCGGCCGCAGAGACGCACGGGCACAGTGGCGGGCTGCGGTCACCCGCAGGGACTTCGGTGCGGGGGAGAAAAAGGTGCGGGTTCGTGAAGAAACAGCTCGGGGAGAGCCGGTTGCGTGGAATAGCGATGTTCAAACGCAGCCGAGTTCCGAGCCCCGAGTTCGGTAACATCGATAGATCTTTAAAAAACGGCTAACAGCAACGCAGCCTGAGGAGAAACTCATCGAAAATCCCCGAAGAAAAGGGGAGCACTCCCTCCGTCCACCGCACAATGCGGTAGGTATGCAGCACGTTGAAGGAGAAAAGGGGAAGAGAAAAAAAAAAGCGAGCGGCCCCGAATTACATAACCAGTTTTAACATTATTTTCCTGTGCTAGGAATTAAGTCATCGCCACCACCTGACGCGCGCAGCCAATCTGCGGCGCCGAGAGGGAGCACCCCCCCCTCTGCCCAGGACCGGTCCCAAACAGGATTGAACCGCTTCTAACAAAGGGTGGAAACTTCGCAAAAACAAGAGCCGAGTCCGCCGGACCGCCGCGATGCGGGCGTGGGGAGGGCGACACGGGGCCAGGGGAGGGGGCTGCGGCGTGGGGGAGCGCAGGAAAGGGCAGTAGCGGGCAGCGGGGCGAAAGTGGAGCGTGTGTGCGGGAAGGGCGGCCCGACGGTGCGAACCGTCGCATCATCGGCCGCAGGGTTACCGCCTGTCAGCGGGCCGGGCTCGGCGGAACGCAGGGCTCGGCGGAACGCAGCCCTCGGCCAGCCGACACGGGGCTCCGCTCCTCGCCGGGCTGCGCTACAGGGCGCTCCCCCGCTCCCCTCCATGGCTCTCGTCCTCGCGGCGCCCCGGCTGCCCCCGCAGGTGACACAAAACCGGTCACAACCAGAAAAGCACCCCCAAAAGCCGCGAGACCCCCTGAGCCATGCCGCCAGGCTCACCTCTCTCGTGGCCGATGAGGACGTCCTTGTGGTTGAAGTACTCCACCTCCTCCGTGTAGTTCTGCGTGTAGGCAGTGTTGGAGCCGGCGTTCCTCGACTCGGTCCAGCGCACCTTGGCGTGCCCGCGCGCGTGGATTTTGAGCGATTTCACTCTGATCTCCCCCGTCACTTCTAAATTGACCCTTCCTGAGACCGTGTCCCCGCTGGAGTAGACGGGGACATTGCTGTCATTGAGACAGTCAAAGCTTATTGTCAAACTCTTCACCTTCCCCAGCACCATGATTTATAGCAAAGCGTAGGAAAAAAAAACGAAACAAACAAACAAACAAAAAACCTGTAAGAAAGCGGAAAAAAAAAAAAAAAAAAAAAAGGGGGGGGGAACAAAAAACCTAACGCAAAAAGCGACCCTCGCCGCACACCGACCGAGCCGACCTACAGCCCCTGCATGGGGAGCTAGAGCGGGCGGGCTGGGGCGGCCCCGGCCCTGCCGCGGATGCCGGCGCTCCGCAGCGCTCAGAGCGCTCGGCTGCCCGGCGCTGCGCTCCGCTCACAATGACGGCGCCGGAGTGCTGCCACCTCACTATAAGCGCTGTGACAAACAACTCCCCCCCCCCCCACCCCCCCTCAACCGAACGCTACACGCTCGCGCATGCGCCCTACGAGCGACGCCGGCCCGCCCTCTGCCCGCCCTTAGCTCGAGGAGGTACCCAGCGCTACTGCCTCGCCGAGCTGGTGGACCGCTTAAGCGATGTCAGCGTCGTCGTTCAGGCTGGCAGCGTTTGAAAGCGTATTTCTATATTTGCCTGTTTTCTCCAGTAAAAGGTCACCCTTGATCCAACACCTGGCGGGGAGCTCTACGCCTAACTTCAGACCGACAATGTTCGGCCGCTGCCTCTGTAGTGATGGGACTGTCTGTGTGTGTGCACCACCGTGCGGCACAGGGGCGCATCGACGGGAACCTGCCGGAGGGGCGGGGTGCCGGGCAGTCCTGCCGGTTCCACCCGGTTCTGCCTTTCATGTCGCAAAGACTTCGGGAGATGCAGCTCTTCTCTTTTCCGTGTCCTTTAAACGATCTGCACAGCTGAAAGACCCAACTTCGGTTGGAAGGCACCCACGTGGATTTATTCCTTATTGTGCACATGTTGATAAGGAGGGGACCTGCTTACACTGGTGGGATATGGCACATTCTAATTTATTTCGTGTATTTTTTTTTATTGTATCTACGTACATCAGTCCAAAAGTAATGCCTCCTATTTATTTCAGTTGCAACTACAACAAAGACCACAATAGCACCATTTATAGAACAAATTTTCGGCTGTAAAACAGTCACCATCATTAACCATCGTGCATTTTCGGCAGCCATGACCAGCAGCCTGCATGCCACACTCTTAACGATCTGCACCAGCAGGGGTGACCCGCTGTCAGTGTCACTGCTGCTGAAATGCAGCACCCAGAACCCCCCTGTGCTCACATGCGTTCTTTGGTGTCCATCAACATTCAGAGAGTGTCAGTGAATGTCAGTGGGTGCCACATCTTTTTCAGAGGAATAAAGTGACACCTCTTTAGCTTCATTAACACTTTCGTGTCAGACAGCATTGTGTCAGACTGCCCCTCTGCTGCCATCTGTTGCACAGCAACAAAACATAGCAGAATTTTGGTGGTAAAGTTCAATCTCTGCTACCATACCACCAATATCCAGCTGTGATGTTGTAGGCCAGCATAATAAAACAGGAGATGCAGCTTTTGGGGCAGCCCTCGTAATTCAGTTTTCTCATTCCAGATTTGTTGGAGAAGAATAAAATACTTTGCTGATCTACTGTTAAATCTGCAGAACTTACGGTCCCAATTTGCCTCCCCTCTCCTTAGGACTGCTGTCTTTGGTCAAACCATTTCTGGACACTTATCCCCAGCACTGCTGCCGTGATACAGGATGCATTCCACATGTTTCATGTTAGCTTGGTACTGTTGATGAGTGTGTGGGTCAGCTTCATGTATCTCACGTTTTACCAATTCATGGATAGTTATGAGTCCTGGTGACAAGTCAGTAGACAAGTCCTGGTGACACTGGCAGTAGATGGCTTTTTGTCAGTTCTTGTGTTGTGTTTCTGGAGGAAAATGCAGTGGATGGTGACTTGCTTGTCAGGCATACTGAATATGCTGCAAACAACACTGATAAAGCTGTATTTCATTGTAACAGTGGCACAACCACACTTAGGGGAATTGTAGGGGATTGCAGACATAGCTGATCATCTTGGATATTTTTCTAAATGTGTAGAACTGAGTCCACTGAATTTAGTAGGACATTTGGAAACCCACACTATATGCTAAACTGCAGTCTTTGAAGCTTTCCAATTTCCATATATTGCTATGCTGTTGTTCTGAGTCAATTAAAACATATCCTTAGTGATCAGATGGGCAGATTTACATGAAAGTTGACCCAGTTTTCAACGCTAAGTATAAATGCCGGTTAAAGCTTGGTGGGAAAACAAACAAAATAACAAAATAACAACAACAAAAAAAAAAACCCACAAAAAAACAAAAAAACCCACAGCAACAACTATGCATAAATTTCATATTCACTCTGAGCAATTACATGTATGTGCTATTGTGCATATGTGCACCCAAAGCATGTGAGCTGAGATCGGCTCTGCTTTAACGTAACTTACCCAGTATCCCAACCAGGCTGCTTTCCTCTGTGTTGTTGATATTTGTTTTTGTTTTTCCCCCTTCCTTCCTTAATATGTCTTCCCTAAAAACATGAGTCTCTTTCCTGCAGCCTCTTACCTTTTTGCCCTTCCAGTAAGGAGAATGAATTGGGATAGCACTTCCTGTATTTATCTCGCTGGTTATAGCAGGCACAGCTATAAGCTCCCGAATCACAAGATTCTGCTAGGAATTAATTAGTGGTTGGTGCGTTAACTTAAAGCCTCAGATTTGAGAATTGATGTGACAAGGTAAAGAATCTCATCTCTGGCAGAGACCTTTGGACCTGATATTAAGAAGTGAATTAGTTAAGAGGCGTGAGTTCACCAGAACAGCTCAGGAATCAGGACACAAATGAAACAACCCATCCATCATCCCCTGATCCCCTCACATCTCAAGCCGTGAGCGCTCAGCCTGGCTGTGTGCCGCACTCAGCCCTTTTTTCCTCTCACCTCCCACGCTTCCTGCTGCCCGGGTTGTCCCGACTCGCCTGGACCCATGTCTCATCAGACACGCCGCCCACTGCCTTCTTGCTGCTCTTTCTGGCCCTACGCGGGCTTGTTGCCAGCCGCCTTGTCGATCACCTCAACTTGTTCAGTTACGTGCAATTTCAGTTGGCAGCCCTCAGCACATTAATTTGTGTAATTTAAATTTGGAGCACTAAGCATATTAACACAGGCTGACATGGTTTGGTTAATCGAATGTTAGAGATATTAAAATTTAGATCAACAGTTTTGCAGAATTTCCAGTTCCCGTCAGCAGTCACGCATACAGATTCAGTCCGTGTACGTTTTTTGCGTTCATCCGTGTCCCGGTGATTCGGGTGCGCGGCGCCATCTGCTGGTAAGCAGGGTGAATTGCCCGCCTTTTCGCTCGGCTTGTGCCGGTGCGTTGCTGTAAGCCTGCCACGCGGCAGGGAAGCGCTGCGGGCCTTGGCGAATTGCTTTCCCTTAACCTTCTGAATTCAGCGCTCTGACACACAGTAAGATTCACTCTTACGGCTTGCTCATTGCCATCTCTTGCTTCCCTTGTTCCTGTTACAGATTGTCCCTGTTTCTCACTTTTAGCAGCTGCTTATTACGTGTAGAATAGTATTCACCCACATGCTGTAAGGAGAATACCCCTGAATTTGAAACCTCTGGACGATGGACAACATTTTCTCGAGCAGTTTAAAGACTGAGAATCCAAATCTTTTCATATTGCAAGACATAAATTAGACCTTGAAAACAGATAGGTTCCTTTGGAAATTTTATCTGAGACTCACTGCCGTAATTAGAACATTTGAAAGATAACATCATTGAAGATGGTTAGTATTTAAATAGGAATTAAAATACTGTTTTCTAAAAGCCATATCAACACTAACATGAGATCAGTGTGATGACAGTAAATGTTTAAATAACCTGCTTCTATTTAAACAGAGAAGTTGCTATGAAATGTAACTATAATGGGTATTCAACAGCTGTTTTCAGATTCTCAATTAATTGTAAATATTACTGGATGTTCATTACTTCCCCCTTTCCGGCCGGCCCCCCCCCCCCCCCAATGAATTGTCCTTGGGCCAAATATTATGTTTTTATCAATCTTGAAACAAAATTTTAAAAGTTGAATGCAAATTTGATAAAGTCTTACCATGTTGAATTAAGTCTGGGCACTCAAGACTTTGTTTTTATGTGCTTGGGTTAGTTATTTGCCAAGAGCTTCCAATAAGTTTTACCAGGCCCTCAAATTGGCACAGCCTCAGTGTCTGGCTCAGATCACTGCTTATGAAAGTAAGCACTTCTCTTGTTTTCGAGGCCTCTCACATCCAGCCCGAGGTCTACCTTTTCTTGGGCAAATTTAAGTATTACCTTCCAGTACACAATTTGCTTTTTCTGTTCATATAATCTGTGATACTGACCTAAACATTCCATTTTACAAGGGATAAGTAAAATATGCATGGTGTAAATCACTGTGGAAAAATGACTGTAGCACAAAAAATTCACTGAACATTCTTTGTGCAAACAAATAACTTATTTCTGATTTATCATCTTGAATTTCCTGGTCTAGCACTCAGATGAGTGCTAATTACTGTGAGTTACTAGTTGACAACACTCTACTCTAGTGTTCTTGCTTGCTAAGTTCTCTAGATACTGAAGGAGTACAAAATTTTAAAAAGTTAGGACAAAACCTTTTTCCTCCTTTTTTTTTCTTTTTTTATTCCTGACAAAATCCAGGAAGGCAATGCTTTGTTATTGGCGTCAGTAGCTCCAAGGAAGATGGCAGTATTCCAGCCTTTATAAGAAGATAAGGATCAGACCTCACCTAACAAACCATTTCTTGAAACTGGCAAACTCTCCCTTGTCTGTCCTGTTTTTTTTTGTGTTTTTGTGTACGTGTGGTGGAAAGAGGGAGAAAAGGAAAGGAAAAGCTTGTAGAGGATTATGGAAGGAAAGAAAAAAATCCTGGCTTGCTGGGTAGTACTGACTGCATTGCTTGAGAATCTTCACTGGAAAACTGAAAATTCATACTGAGTCATCTCCATACATAATACTGATCCATCTGAACTGTTCTATCATCCGTGACTGCAGGTGTCAGCGTGTTCTGCTCTGTTTCTGAACAGTTCTCCTTATTCAGATCTTATCTTGAGGATTTTGGCAACCTAGAGTCACACTCGTTCATGTCCCAGACTCTAGTAGAAGGATATGGATATACAAATGGGAGGCATTTAGGCCACCACATCCAAAATCAGTCCAAAGCAGTCTTAGATCCAGAGGTACGTCTGCAGGCCTTTGTGCTGATGCAG